GCACACAGACACACTGTTCTGTTTCTGGTAGCTAACCCTGATGGGACAGGAAAAATACAAATTTTGGTGAACTTGATCCTCCCTGAGCCAAATTTCTGGTTTTGACCTGATGCCAAGAGAGTATTTTGTGATATTGTGGCCACTCACGTGTATGAACCGTCTAAAGGCGCTGACATTCAAACATGAAGGGGGGTAAGCCCTAGAATTACTCACTGGTAGAGGTTTTTTATAGACTGTTCAGTGCTGGTCAAGCTGAAATACAGCCCTTCTCTCTTCAGATCATCAAGCTCCCCTCGGCAGAAGCCCACTCGGGCTGGAAGTTCGAGCTGGACATTATAAGACTCCTTGGGGCGCGTTCCAAAGAAATGAAGGCCATTGGTGGGATAAAGAAAGAGGGCGTAGGTATCAGACTCATCATACGCCAAAACCACCTGGAAAGTGTTCCGCTGAAAAAGAAAGAGAGAGGGGACACAAGTTAGAACACCCGTAGAACCAACAACAGGGGATGCACACACCGCATCCTAAAAAAAGGTGGAAAAATCTTCTCCTTTCTGTTTTCTCTGAATTGTGTCTGTAAATATAATTGTTTGTTAAAATGTCCTCCTCTGTTACAAATGCCACTGTGTACATTGTATTACTCATTGTTATACTCCTCTTTAGTCAATCTACATTAACAGTTAAAGTGTTCTAACTCATAGAGACCCTGTAGGACAGGGTAGAACTGACCCTGTGGGTTTCTGAGCCTGGAACTCATTACGGGAGTAGCAGGCTTTGTCCCCCACCCCCCCATACATAATAGCAAATGTAAAAAACATAATAATTGCACTGCTATGGGAAAAAGTTGGTGGCTATTTCCCATAAAAAGCTACACATAAAGTTAACCACAGCCTAGCAATTCCACTCTTGGGTGTAGTCTCAAGAGACTTGAAAACAGAGGCTCTAACCAGTATTTGTACACCGATATTCATTGCAGCATTATTCACAAGAATCAAATGATGACAACACAAGTGTTTGCTAAGATGAATGGATAAACAGAGTGGGGGATAAACATGCAATGAAAATGTATTCTGTCATAGAGAGGAATTAAGTGCTGATACATGCTATGACATGGATAAACCTCAAAAATATGCTGAGTCAGACACCAAGAACAAATATTGTATGATCCCATTTACGTGAAATATATCATAGGCATACGCAGTTTGTAGAGATGTCAAACTTTGGGGAATGGATAGGAGTGATGGCAACATATCATGGTGAAAGTAGTTAGTGCCACAGAATCACACATGGAAAATGGCGACAATGGCAAACTTTTTGATTACATCCATCTATCTTATCGGTTTCACACATCTCTCTTCCAAACCTCTTTAATCTGGTAACGTGTAGCAACATTAACCTGGGCAGCCACTGCCCTAGGCATTCAACAGCTCTTGTCTGTATTATTCATCCATCCATCCATCCATCAACAGCTCTTGTCTGGATTATTCATCCATCCATCCATCCACCCATCCATCCACCCACCCATCCATCCATCCATCCATCCATCCAGTCAGCCAGCCAACCAACCAACCAGCCTGATTGGGCAGCATAATGCCAGGCACTGGCTGACCGAAACGCCTCCTTACTGCTCGCACAGCCTCATCCTCTTTCGTCCTCCAATGTACCGTGTCACCCCAGTTCTCCTGTCTTCATCTCACACATAAGAAAAGAGAGGCGCAAAGGCGCAGCGCTGGCTGCGCTGAGGAAGCTGGTCGGTAGTTCTGCTCCAGAATCTGCGCCCTGCACCATTTGCGATCTGGTTTCAAACTCCCTTCCCAGGCTCAGTTCCAGGCAAACTGGTTAATGTTCCACATTTGTGCCATGCTCTGCTCATGCCTGAAAACCCTCACACAGCCTCGAATGCTGCTTCTCTGAGAGGTCTGTGTTTCCCTGCAGAATCATTTCCGCCTCATGGGTCTTTCTCGTTAAGAGGCATCCCATTTTGCCTTAAACAATTCATCCAATTTACTCATGGATAAATTGTGCATTATTTTCAACTGCCACGTGCCTACTAAGCACTAGGAATTATGCATGGTGCTGGAGAGGCAAGAGAGTGAGACTGTGAACAGGGCAGCCTCATCCTTTAGGAGAGAAACAGCCATGGCAGGAATTTTAAGCTGGGGATTGCCCACGGAAATAGAGGACCCGGTGGAGGGTGTGTGTCCAGGACTAAGGGGTGGGGTGAAGGGTGGGGAGGCGTCACAGAGACTGCTTGTGAACGTTAGTAAACACCACAGGAGTCTGAACAGACCAGCAAAGAGAAACCAGGAGCTTGAGTTACCCACAAACTCCACTCCAGCCCCTAATAGAATTGCTCTTACAGTTGAGCTTACTCTCACACTTTCAACAAAAGACTCTCTGCCTTTACCTACCCGGAGCTATCTTTCTTACCCCTGATGTGTAAAATCCATTAGTCTGTAACACCTTTAAAAGACACTATATTAAGAAATCCATTAATTCCTCCTCTAAATTCTACTCTATTTACAATTTAGTTGGGACCTGGAGATGCATTTAAAAATAGTACATACTTCCCCTATAACGTGACCCTTAAAAGCATCATTCGCGACTAAGTCAAATTGCTTTCCGGTTCTTCTAGGCAGAGATGACCATCCTACACGAGGATGATAACACAGCAAAGACATGGTTCTTCTCTCCCCACGTGCTGCTCATGCTCCCTTCTAATGGAGAAAGTTCCTTTCGATGTCTAAAGTCAAAGCATAGTTGGGGGTCTGCGTCCAGGGCCACGAAATTCAAGTGGTGTAGCATGATTTACACGAAAGCTTTTCTTTTGGTTCCCTAACACGGGAAAAACCCCATCTTTTTGATGTTCTTTCAGCCACAAAGTAACAGCCAAGAAGCCTCTTATTCTTGTTGCTGTAGTCGGTGACTGTTTCTTAAGCAAACTTTTGACTTTTCCAAATAATGTGTTCTAACATTTCTAGAAAGTAAGGAAACCACAACTTTTGCCAAATGTAAACAAAGGCGGTTCTGCATCATCTGTACACCACATGCTCACGTCATTCATTAATATAGATTCAATAACTTCACAGTGTTGGTTTAGTTTGAATAAATAATGTTCAACTGGGGAAGGAAGGTACTTCAGGAGAAAGGAACTCATTTTAAATAGCTAAGCTTTCAAAGTTCCTGGCATCCATCTCCTGGAATAAAAATACGAGGAGACAATCCTGGTTGTGAGCTTCGAGAAAGTCTGAAATAAGAAGGTTGTATAGATTGTGAGGCAGTGGAAAGGGTTAGGGGGCGTCTGGTTTTTTACTGGGGGGTCTGGAAATTTAATACTTGTTCACTTTCTTAGTCAGTCAACAAAGTCGTGTCTGTTACATTTCATACAACTTCTTGTATATGCTACCCCTGAGACAACTAGGTGGTAAGTGTTTTCTGTACTTGTCTCTACTGAAATTGGAAAATATCAGAGGGATAAGAACAACTTCAATAGAATTTAAGAGTCAAAATATACTCCAAAGGAGAATGATTCTTTAAAAGCCACCGAGCATCCCAGATGATCACTTCTGAAGTTCTCCCTCTCTGTTCTGCAAATTCTACGTCTCCTCAGGGAAGAGCCCACTTCATGAAGTCCTGAGAGGCTCCCGCTCCCAGCACTCTTTGACCGGCTTCCAAACCGGAAAGGTCGTCACGTTCCTAGATAGAAACAAGCCTTTGCAAAAGCCACACACTCTGTCTCTGCAGGGAAACCCTCAGATGGGCTGCCAAACTCCACAAAAGGGTCAGTGGTTCCTAACTCCCCCGGGATCCCCGAGAAGACAGAAGGCTCAAAGGCAACGAGGAGCAGGAGAAGGAGCAGGGCCAGTCGTCCCAGAGCCTCGAATTCGCACCACCCTGTTCTCAGAAAGAAAAGCCAGAACTCTCAGCGAAAGCCAGGGAAGAGTCTGCCTTTTCCTCCCAGGCCTGGGACATCACCCATCAATGATGGTTTAACATGCGACAGAGCCAGAGTGATGGAGACAAAACATGCCCCTCGATGAGTTTCTAATTTCTGTAATGCATTTCATTCATTTCAACCTTCTGATTAAAAAAAAAAAAAGAGAACTGTGCCGGAGGCTGCCTGTAGGGGCACACAAACATTAAAATGAAGAGTCAGGGTGACTCGATGAGGACTGCAGAGTTCTCCCCTGTCTCCCTCAGGGGCACATGGGTTCTGGATTTGTAGGATCACTGATCTTGTCTGCATAAATTACCTCATTCAGATTCTGCTCTAAATCTACCCAAGCCCAATGCCACTGGATCAATTCTGACCTTGCAATGATTAGTATTTTGACAAGAAAACATGGCCTCGGTTCCATATTAAACAGATTCACGTAACACAGCTCTGTACATATCACATTGCTAAGATAAAACATAAGCCGATATGTACCATATGCAGATATGCTAAAAAATACAGCCAGCCTTCTCCTTCGAAGTCAGGATGGCCAGAGTTGGTCTCCCGTACGTTCAACATGTTATCAGGAGTGACTAGCCCTTGTAAAAGGCCATCATGCTTGGTAGGGGTGCAGCAAAAGAGAGGAAGACCCCCAATGAGATGGACTGACAGCAGCTGTAACATGGGCTTAAGCTTAACAGTAGTGAGGAGATTGCAAGACTGGGGAGTTGTCCATAATGTAGCTATCAGTGGAAATGGCTCAATGGCATCAAACAGCAACAAGCCCCAGAGATCCCAGGGTTAAAACAAACAGACACGAAATCTCTGTATGTCTTCCATTACTAAGTTCTTTGACAATCAACACCATGACTTCTTTGCTCTAGCCTACAGCACGCTGGGACAGTTCCAGAAAGCTTGGATGAACTCTTGCTCTTTGACTTGATAAACATTGTTTGTTCATATTTGTCAGATGCAATCACACCTTGATGTTCCTGAAACATCAGGTGCCACATTCCATCACACCCACCATCCATGGAGAGAAACGGCAGATGTAGAACTAAAATTGTTTTATGAGCTAAAGAAAAGATGCCATTCCTCTGATACATTCAAGTTTCCAGTAACTTTGCAATATAAAGTTAGTATGCCAAGGTTTAACAAAAGCATGTAGAACTCACACAGTCTTTCAACAGAGCAGATTAATGTTTGCCAAAAGTCTATCTCCAAAGAATGATTAAAATAAGAACTCAAGTGGCAGGGTACTTTAAAATATTCAGAAGAACCTTCAATGTATCCACATTGAAAAAACATGCTCCCTCCAAACAGAATTTTCGTCTCTTTTCCAACTAAGCATATGGCAATGTCTGAAGGTTTTTCATTTGAAAGTGCAGGAAAGAGGGGAATCTCCAACTCCTGTCTCCACCCGAAGTTGTAAGAGTCCTTACACAAAAGAGCTTAGATTTTACACAGCAGCATCCACATAAAAAATAAAGCAATCAAGTAAGTGGAATTTGGCCG